GGGCCATCATCCCTGTCAAATAATACCATGCGGGACACATTCGTTTTTTCTTCGCGCGCGCACGCCGAAATCTCCAAAAACCATTGGGCTTCTTAAGAATTTTAGCACCGCGCATCATAAAATCACACGAATCGCACCGTAGGTCCTCGAAAAAACACCTGCACGACTTTTCAAAATTTCTACCCGCGCGCGCTGTCCTAACAACTTCTGTGGGTGTGTACTCCACGCCAGTGTAGTAGCCACGGTCGTCCGCAGGCCACGAAGTGAAGTGTCCGAACGTCATAGGGCGGGAAGCTGGGTGTGGGTGGTGGCGAAGAGTCGTGTGGATATTTGGTAGAGCTTGCACTGCCCCCCCACAAAGTGGGGGTATTGGCTGGCGTCGCATGAAAACCCTGGCACTGGTGAGAACACTGAGCGTTCGGGTAAAGTGATTGTTGTTGTTGTTGTTGTTGTTGTTCTGGGTGTTGTTGTTGTTGTTGTTGCTGCTGCTGTTGTTGCTGTTGTTGTTGTTGCTGCTGCTGCTGCTGTTGTTGTTGTTGTTGTTGTTGTAGTCCTTGGGCCAAATACATAGTTTGAGCGCGAAATTGGTCCCTGTTAAAAGCAGGTTGCGAGCCCAGAGGGGGCACTTCAGTTGGAAAACATTTTCCTGGCGAAGGGCCCAGCCACATGCAGTTGTGAGTCTCGCCGTTGTGTGTATCGCCCATCAGTGGATCTCTTTTGGCCACGAAGCGTGTAGAAAGGTGTGCGGACATGGGACGGGGACACATGCGGGCGCAGACATTGAGGCCTTCGGTTGAGCTCTATTTGGGGCCACGAAACGTGTGAAAGGGTTTGCCACAATGGAAGGGGGGCGGCATGCGAACGTCGCCACCGGGGCCTTAGGTGGAGTTTCCTATGGGGTCACGGAGCGCTGTACCGAGTAGGGGAAACGCATGTGAACACCGCCACTGGGGCCTTCGGTGGGTCCCCATGGGGCCACGGAACGTTGTCCTGAGTGAGGGAGATGCATGAGAGCACCGCCGCTGAGGCCTTCGGTGGAGCTCCCTGTGGGGCCACGAAACGTTGTACTTTGTGGAGGAGTCGCATGCGAACGCCGCCACAGGGGTCCTCCGTGGAGCTCCCTATGGGCCACGAAGCGCTGTGCTGGGTGGGGGAAACGCATGCGGACACCGCCACTGCGGACTTCAGTGGAGCTCCCATAGGGTGGGGGAAACGCCGCCACTGGGGCCTTCGGTGGAACTCCATCTGTGGCCACGACGCGCTGTACTGGGTGGGGGAAACGCATGCGGACACCGCCACGGGGGGGCCTTCGGTGGAGCTCCCTGTGGGGTCACGAAACGCTGCACTAGGGGGGAAACGCATGCAGGCACCGCCACTGGGGCCTTAGGTGGAGCTCCTTACGTGGCAACGAAACGGTGTGCTGGGTGGGGGGGGGGAGACGCATGCGGACACCGCCACTGGGGCCTTCGGTGGAGCCCCCCGTGGGGCCACGAATTCGTTGTCCTGGGTGGGGGAAACGCGTGCGAACCATGCCACTGGGGCCTTGTGTGGAGCTCTCTGTGGGGCCACGAACCGTGTGAGGGGCGTGCCGAAGTAGAGGGGGGGCGGCATGCGAACGCAACCAATGGGAATTTGGCTGGAGCTCCCTATGGGACCACGAACCGTGTGAGAGGTGCGCCAACATGGAGGGGGGGCGGCATGCGAGCGCAACCACAGGAGCCTTCGGAGCTCCCTATGGGGCCACGAACCGTTTGAGGGGTGTGCCGAAATGGGCATGCGGTTGGCGGGGTGGACGCATGTGAACGCTGCCGCGGACCTTCCCTATGGGGCCACGAACCGTGTGAGGGTTGTGCCGAAATGGGCCTGCGGTGGGCGGGGTGGACGCATGTGAACGCGGCCACTGGGGCCTTGGGTGGAGCTCCCTATGGGGCCACGAACCGTGTGAGGGTTGTGCCGAAATGGGCCTGCGGTGGGCGGGGTGGACGCATGTGAACGCGGCCACTGGGGCCTTGGGTGGAGCTTCCTGTGGGGCCACGAACCGTTTGAGGGATGTGTCGAAATGGGCCTGCGGTGGGCGGGGTGGACGCATGTGAACGCGGCCACTGGGGCCTCGGGTGGAGCTCCCTATGGGGCCCATGGGGCCACGAACCGTTTGAGGGGTGTGCCGAAATGGGCCTGCGGTGGGCGGGGTGGACGCATGTGAACGCGGCCACTGGGGCCTTGGGTGGAACCCCTACGGGGCCTTGAACCATGTGAGGGTTGTGCCGAATGGGCATGTTGTGGGCGGGGTGGACGCATGTGCATCGCGGCCACTGGGGCCTTGGGTGGAGTTCCCTATGGGGCCACGAACCGTGTGAGGGTTGTGCCGAAATGGACGCATGTGAACGCGGCCACTGGGGCCTTGGGTGGAGCTCCCTATGGGGCCACGAACCGTGTGAGGGTTGTGCCAGAACTGGGCATGCGGTGGGCGGGGTGGACGCCTTTGAATGCGGCCACTGGGGCCTTGCGTGGAGCTCCCTGTGGGGCCACGAACCGTGTGAGGGGTGTGCCGGAATAGGCATGCGGAGGGCAGAGTGCCGAAATGTACATGCGGAGGGCAGAGGCACGCATGGGAGGAGGGAGGAGGGGGGGGAGGAGGAGAGGAGGAGGAGGAGGAGGAGGAGGAGGAGGAGGAGGAGGAGGAGGAGAACGCGGGGCTTTGTCTCTTCGGAACGAAGACCCAACACATGATGGCTGGGAATGACATGCAGTAGTGGGGTGGATCAGCAATATACATATAAGTGGAGATCCCGGGCCACTGGCCCTGGCACCAGCTCTGGAAGCCCCCAAGACCATTCAACATCGCTCCAAGAGGCTTTCAAGAGGCCCCCTAGAGCTCTGCGGAAGCTCTCGAGATGCCAAAATCATTGAACAACCAATTGAAATCAATGGTTTTTTGTTTTCTCGCACTCCCGCCTCCGACACGCTTCCGAGGCTTGCGCAAGCTCCCCACGAGGGCTCCAGGAGGCCTCCAGGAGGCGTCCCGAGCGGCGAGAAGTGGCCCCAAGAGGCCACAAGAGGCTCCCATGACGCCCGAAGAGGCCCCACCGAGGGTCCAAAGACGCTCCGAGCAGGCCCCACCGAGCTCCTAGGAGCCGCCCCGGAGGCATCCAGCGCTGAAGAGGGCCCCGAGAGGCCCTCAAGAGCTCCCAAGAGGCCCCCAGGAGAGCTCCAAGGTGCTCCCACAAGCCGCTCGGAACGCATCTTGGGGGCATCTTGTCGCTCTCTTGGTGTGCATGCGCAAGCCTCGAGAGCGCATCGGAGGTGGAGGCGCCTCGAGAGCGAGAACACAACCATCACAATTTTCTTTTATTTTTGCAATGATGTTTGCCTTTCGAGAGCTTCCCCGGAACTCGTGGAGGACTCTTGGAGGCCTCTTGGGATAATCTTGGGTATTCTTGGGGGCTTCTAGAGCCAACTTGAAAAAAGAGAGGCAATTCCCTCAAATATTTTTTTTCAAGTTCGCCCATCTCCCTCCGTTCCCTCCTGTCCCAGGCTTTGGCGTGCCCCAGAGCGCGTTTCTGGTTCCCTAATCCCTCGCTGTCCTTTCTCTTTGTTCTCTCTTTCTTTCTTTCTCTCTCTCTCTCTATCTCTCATATTCTTGGTTATTTTCCATCTCCCGTTCTACACCCTTCGCCTTCCTCTCCTCTTCCCTCCTCCCCGCTGCGTCTGTCCCCCCCCTCCCTCATGCGTCTCTCTTACACACCTTCCTCTCTTCGCCTCCCTCATGCGTTTGCGTCTCCCCCCTCCCTCATCTTCATCTCTCATTCACTCCCTCCTCCCTCCGCCTTCCTCACCCAGCATCATGACCCACTGAGTGGTAGGAGGCCCAGCTCGAAAAAAGGGAAATCCCTCAAAGTCCTTTTTTTCTTTTTCAAGGCCGACCCCATTCGACATGTCGAGCCTGGGCGCCAAAAGCGCCAGGGTGGTCCCCGAGGCGCGCCCAAGAAGTCCCAAGAGACCACCAGGAGACACCCACCAAACATGTGATCGGGCATGCCCACTAACAAACGAAACAATAATCTGGGGACGAGGTCTTAATTATTTTTGATGCTTTAAGATCTGTTTTGTTCTTCGTCCAGCATGCGCCTGTAGGAGGACACGCCCGACCTAGACCAAGCACCGACCCCCAGAGACCCCAAGAGCCCTGCAATGAGCGCCCCCCAAGCGCATCCAAAGAGACTCCCAGCACAGGGCTGGACCTGAACGGTGTTTCTGGTGATTCCGTGGGCCGTTTTCGTTTCGACGTTGTTCTGCGGTAGAGGCGGCTTCGAGACAAAAAAGCGAGGGAAAACGAAAGAGAAACGAGCACGAAAGACACCGCTCAGGTTCAGCCCTGCCCCAGCATGGCCTCCCCGGGCTGGCAGGAGCCCCCGGGCGTCCCCCCCCCTTCCACAGGCTGCCCCGGGGCCTCCGCGTGGCTGCCCTGCGCGCCTTCCTCTGGGTCTCCCCCCGGGCGCTCTCCAGAGAGCAGCTGGAGGGCACCGGCCTGCACGCACACCTCCTGGCGCGAGGTCGTGCGGGAAGTCACCTCCATCAGAAGACATTCGTAACGCTTCCCGTTGGCACCGTGTGTCGTGCAGCATCTGAACGCTTCCCGGCACGGCACTGTACGACCTGCGTGATCCCCAGGGCCGCGCTAGGCAACCAGACTCCCGAAGCCTCTCAAAGGTTACCTTCGGGCAGCTGCTCGGTGTATCTTCTCAGAGCAGCAGGATCTCTAAAGCCTGCTTGTTCAACAACTCTGGAAGCATCCAGCAGGGAGGCTCCCAGATGGTGAGCCTTGCGGGATGAGGTCCATCCTCATCCTGTCCGGTAAGTTTACTCGGACTGCGCTGGAACCACGCGCGCGCTTCGCGCGTGGTTATAGCATCTAAAGTGGAGTGAGGTCGTTGGAGACTCCGAGGACACCGCGCGGGCGGCCCGTCATTGCACGGCTTCGGGGCACCGACCGGCCTCCCAGGCGCTGAAGTTCACGCACCGCACGCCGTACCGCGTGTGCCGCGTGTACGGCGGCGAGAAGGCGAAGGCGCCCCGCCCCGCCCCGCCCCGCCGTCCGCCCCGGCGGCACGAGGGCCGCCCCCGGGCCCGCGCGCCACTTCGTGCGCTCCGCGGGGAGGGGGAGGAGGAGGAGGAGGAGGAGGAGGAGGAGGAGGAGGAGGAGGAGGAGGAGGAGGAGCAGGAGGAGGAGGAGGACGAGGAGGAGGAGGAGGAGGAGGAGGAGGAGGAGGAGGAGGAGGAAAAGGACGAGGATGTGGTTACGCCAGGGTGTGGTTTGCGATCGGCGCCGTTGGGGCCCGGGGGGCACGACGCTGTCCTCGTCGGGCCGCCTCGGGGCGCGGCGGAGAACTCGTCGAGGCACCCGCCCCCCCCCCTCCAGGGCGCCCCACGGGGTGCCGAGTGCAAGCCACACCCTCTTCAGACCACACCCTTCGGAGCCGCCGACCCCTCCCTCTTAGAAGCCAGGCGAAGGCTAGCAAACCCGTGGCTGCCAAAACGGAGCTCAGGGGAACAGTTTTTTTTTGTTTTTTTTGTTTTTCCGTTTTGTTGTTTCTTTTCCTCTTTTGGGAAGCGGCCCGTTTGCTATTTCGTGCGGTGAATTTTCTGTCCGGGAGTTTTCTTTTCTTTTCTTTTCCCCTCTCCCGGTGAGGCCGTCTTAGCAGCCACGGATTTGCCAGCCCTCGTCCAGCTTTTGACCCTCCTTCCTCCTCAGTGCAGTCAACCCGCAGAGGAAGGATGAGCGACTTTTCAAGGCCATCCTTGCATCCTTCCCCGTCGGCCCATCGTTCGCCGCTTTCGCTGGCCGCGCCCCGCTCGCAAAGTGTCGACTCGGCCTTCCAGGGCCCTTGCATGCTTGTCGCGCATCCTTGTTATGCGGGTTGACTGTATCGTTCAACCTATCCTCATCCCAATCCCTATCCTCATCTCGATCCCCACCATCCCACCACCCCAGTTGGGGATGTGCCCCTCGGAACTTTGAGGGAACCGCCTATCCGTAAGGGCTTCGTCCCCTGCCGCCGGCCCCCTCTCTCGGAAAATGGGGTGTGCAAGAGCTATGTTGCGAGGCCTTGGCGACATCTTGAAGCAGCGTCGGAAACCCGAATGGAGGCCACTGGAGATATGAGCGTACCAACAATCAATCAAAAACCCGAGGACGATCGTAGATGTTGGCCTCTTGGGCTCCTCTTGGGGGTGCTCTTGGAGCGCTCTTGAGGGCCTCTTAGGAGCCTCCTGGGCCGTCTTGGGACCATCCTGGGCGCCTTTGAGCACTATTGAGCCGTCTCGGAGACCTCTTATACCGTCTTGGGGGCCTTTTCTAAAGGATTGCAGCGTCGAAGCGCGAACATTGCGTACTCTACAAGGCTTTACGACTTCGGGGACGCAGGAAACGAGTAATTTACGAGGGATCGTCCCTTCGTGGACGCGAGCATCGCATACTTTAACCCAGAATTATGGTCTCGGGAGCGCGAACATAATGTAATTTGCAAGGTGTTATGGCCCTGGGGACGCGCATATGCTGTAATTTACAAGGGGTTATGGCCGGGGGGTACAGTCAGACCGAGGTATAGATCGAGGTCGGTTTGGGGAGGGTACTCTAGTGTTCTTCGAGTTTGCTCGATGTTCTTGTGCACCCTTGCGAGGATACCCCAGGATGTTCTGTGTGTTTTGGCCGGCGCAGAGTCTCTTGCTCTTGAGAGACGTTCTTCTGTCTTAGGTTCGACTGTACCTCGGCCAGTGGGGCCCAGGCCACGCCCGCGCTCCCCCTCCTCCGCCTCCTCCGCCTCCTCCTCCTCCTCCTCCTCCTCCTCCTCGGGGATCGGTGAAACGATGCTCCGCCTCTCCCTTCCCTTCGCTCGTTTCCTTTCGCCTGCGGTCAACAGGCTCCGGGGTGGTGCCCTCTGTGGCTTCGGAGGGGGGGCTCGGTGCTCCCCGGGGTCCGTCCCCTGCCGTTTCTCGGGCATCTTTGCTCCAGACTTAAGTCGGGCGTGCCCCTCTACAGCAGGAGTATTCAAAAATAGCCCAAAACTTGTATGGTGAGTATCTTTCAACTGTTTTTGAAGATGTTTGGATCTTTTTTGATGTTTCATGTTTCTTCCAATTCCGCCTGTAGGGCGATATGCCCGACCTAACTCGAGACCTCCTAGATGGGGTCCGAGTTGATGGGGTCGGAGGATTGAGCCGCATCGCCGATGCATCGACGATGCGGCTCGATGTGGAGCCCGTGTTTCCCCATGCCGGCGTCGCCTATACATCGCCGATACATCGCCGATACGTGCCGATACATCGGCGATGCACTGGCGATGCGACGCGATCCTTCGACCCCATCTAGTCGGACCCCACCTGGGAGGCTTCTATTTGCGCAAATCAGGGCTGGAAAATGCTTCGTTCTCTATCGGAAATTCCTCGTGGCACAACTTTGAGACGCCACCTCCTCCTGCACTTCCTCCTCGTCCTCCTCTCCTCCCTTCCTCGTCCTTCCTCCGTCTCTCTCCTTTCCCCTCACCCCTCGACCCTGCCCTCCTCCTGCCTTGGCTGTCGACGCAGACGGTCAGGGCGTACCTATCATGTTGTTTGTTGCGCCCTCGCTCGCTCGCTCGCTCACTTTCTCTCTCTGTCTCTCTCTCTGTCTCTCTGTATCTCGAAGGTTTGGGGGTGAGATCGAAATGGAACGGAGAGCCCCTCACCAGGAAATCGGTTTCGGTGTCGGGTTTGTGTCGTGCGGGCGGGCGAGGCGAAGGTGCGTGGGCGGGCGAAAGGAGTGACTCCGCTGTGGCTCGGGCGAGTCAAGAGCCGTCGACCGCTCCTCCTCCCTCCCGGTGGGCGGGCGGTGGCCGGGTTGTTCCGCCGTGGTGTCCAGTCGCTGTCCGCCTCTCCCCCGCGGTGGGCGGGCGGTGGCCGGGTTGTCCCGCCGTGGTGTCCCATCGGTGTCCCGTCGTTGTCCCGTCGTGTCCCGTCGGTGTCCCGTCGGTGTTCCGTTGGTGTCCCGTCGCTGTCCCGTCGCTGTCCCGTCGCTGTCCCTTCGCTGTCCCGTCGCTGTCCCGTCGGTGCCCCGTTGGTGTCCCGTCGGTGTCTGGTACGTGTCCCGTCGGTGGCCCGTTGGTGCCCCGTCGGGGTCTCGTCGGTGTCCCGTCGGTGTCCCGTGGTGAGTTCGATCGAGTGGGATCGATAGTGGGATCACATCGCGGCGCAGCATCGTCACCACTTGTCGTCGCCAACTCGAGGGCGCATCACCAGTATCGTCATCATCACAGCCATCTCACTTGTCGTCATTTTGTTCTTCCCCCCCACCCACCAACATCCTAATCACCCGAAGGGTGGTCGTATAGATGTGTGTATATATATATATATATATTGATGGATCGATGTTTTGTTTGCGTCTGCCTCACTCTCTCTTTCTCTCTGTGGTCAGCTTCGAAGCGGCACAGAGACGGCACGCTGAAACTGACTGACACTGTCGGCGGGAGGCGGTATGTGCAAGTTACATGTGTTTGCTGCAGGAGGCAGACGCGCGGGGCAGGACTGGGGCAGCTGCTTGTTCAGTGGCCTCGTGCCTGGGTGGTGGGCAAGAGGACTCTTGGATGCCTTTTTTGGGGGCTTTACACTTGGAGCCGGCCAGGGGCCTGAGGTAAGCCAGCATTGGTTCCAGCGAGCAGGAAGCGGGGGCGAGTTTCGAGGTTCTGGATGCCAGAATGTTTTCTGACTCTCTTCGCCTCTGGGGGCTGTCTGCGGGCCCAGAAGCCGTCAGAAGCGGATCTGCGGCGAAAACTGCACCACATGCCATCGCCGGCTCGACTCCAGTCGTGCGATCGACCTCGCACGCCTCCCCACCTCCCCCCGCACATCCCAATGCCGGGGTGCCGCCGAAGCTACTGCCTCGGAGCTCACGAGACGGGGGTCAAGGCAAACGGGGGTCAGCCAAAGCGCCGGATCTTGCAGGATCCTGCAGGGCCAGGGTCGCGTTGACCCGGGCTTTGCTGGATCCTTCGCGTTGACCCGGGCTTGGGTGCGGGATCTTGCGCGGTGCGCTCCGGAGCTCCGGGCGGTGCGAAACCAGGAGATGCCAGGAGTGGGTACCATCGCGCCTCAGGCCGCGACGCGTAAGGCGCGATTACCTTCGCGCCCCAGGACGGAAGGCCACCCGCATTTCGATACATAGGGGGGGGGCAACGTGCACGATACAGTGTAAGGCCCGATGGCCCCGGGCGGTGCGCTCCGGAGCTCCCCGCGCCGCCGAGTGAGCCCCGCGGGGCGGAGAGCGGCCTGTGCGGACGGCATGCCCGCGGCGCCCGTGCGTGGCGCTGGCGTGCCAAGCACGGGGGGCGGCAGAGAGGCTGGGGTTAAGTCGGGCATGCCAATCTGCAGGAGGAGTATTCGAAAACAGTAAAAACACAGTCCAGAGACGATTTGGTGTTTCTATGTTTGAGCATCTTCATCGATCTTTCATTCTTCGTCCAAAATCGGCCTGTAGGGGGACATGCCCGGCCTAAGACTAGTGGGGGTGGATACCACGGCGGGGGCCATGATCTCTCCCCAGATTTCATGTCGCCTCTTCTTGTTTCAAAGCGTCCCTGGCCCCCCCCCCCCGGGGCCGCGCACATGCCGCCGAGCATGATTTGCCGTCCCCCCTCTTGAATGCACCGGCACTGTCGACATCTACGAGCCGTGTGGGTCGTAGGAGAACAAGAACGGCATAAGCATGAACTTTTGGCGCTTCGCGCGGATTTCTTGGATCCGCGCCTGGGGCCCCCCCAGCGGCGCCTCTGGCGACAAGAAATCCGCGCAGAGCAAGTGTATGTGAATGCCGTTGTTGTTGAACTCTCATTTCTGAAGAACATTTATTGTTGATCCCCTCCGTCCGGTGCACATTGTTTTTTTTTCGATTGAAGTGCCCTTTCCGGGGCTCGCACCCTGTTTTTAATAAAGTCTTGAGGGTCAAGCTGTGTTGTTGGCCCCTGGTTTACAATAACAACAACAGCAACGGCTCCCGCCTGATACTTCCTCACAATTTATTGAAGAATCGCGCTCTCG